GAACGCACCTTGTCCGGAGTCCATTGTATGCATCATCATTTCCAGAGTAGGACCGTGGACGTGGTACATTGCCAGACTTTTCACCGGCATCGTCAGTGAGTATCGCTATTCGTCACAATTTTTCACTGTGCTTATTTTTTATGTAGTGTGGTGTGCTCCTTCGAGCGGCATTCATGAAAACCCTTCACACTCACCCAGACGCAGGGGTGGGTTAATTACGCCTCGAATAGCACAGATGGGGGGGCAGGGGTTGGGTAAAATACATGTACAAGGGAGATAGCAGACGGATTCGACGAGGCAAGAGAGAGATTGATAAGACTTATGGGAGGAGGACTGCGGAACAATATGTCAGACTCTGATAATCATTCCAAGCACAAGGGTGAAGGGGAGTGTGGAGGTTTCCATGACAGTCACTCAAAGGGACACACCACACTACATGGAAATAAGTACGGTATAAACTGTAACAATGAAGGCGGGATAGGAGGATATAGGAAATATCAATATCCCAGAGCAGGAGAGATACCACAAGTGTCTAGCACACGTTTGGTCAAGGCATCGGCTTCACTTGCCTCTGACGAGTTGTTGTGTGGTGCTACAAATGGCGGGACTCATTGACGATGCCGACGAAAGGTCTGGAAATGTACCACGTCCACGGGCTTACTCTGGAAATGATGATGCATACAATGGACTCCAGACAAGGTGCGTTCCTCTAAGTCTTCCTACCAATATGACCGAGTTGCGAAAACAAGGTCAAAAAACTTCTATAAAACGAAAGAAGGCTGCGACTACAGAAAAGGCCACATCATCTTGGTCTTCACACCTTATTTATTAATGCTACTCATGGACATGTTGTATTCATTACCTCCCACCCCTCGCCTAAAGAAGAAGCAAGAGACCTAATTCTGCGCATAAAACCACATCAAAATAGCCTGTGCATGCATATATATCTAAATCTAAAATAATTTTTGGCTTCTTATGCTTCATCCCTTTTTAGCCAAAATTTAAGCCATTACCTCAATTCGGCTTGTCAATGGGCCTTTGCTCATCGAGCTCCCTCTTCAATGAAGGTATCTTTCTCCGAATTATGCATCTTTACAGGCGCAATGCTGCCAAAATGCGCAGCGATTTGATCAAACTTGGTAAATACTCGCCGATGATCATATCCAGATCAATATCAGCAAAAATGAGTTCGGGTCAACGACTCCTGCTTACTCGTCGGATGTACGGCGATCGCCAGCAAACCATGAAGAAGACATCTGTAGTTGGCAGAAGGGAGCAAGA